AAAAGGCAGAAAAGAACGCTACGAGTGGGAAAGTGCAATATGACAAGAAAGCTAAGAGTACGAGTCTACAACCCGGTGATCGTGTGTTAATACGAAATGTGAAAGAAAGGGGTGGTCCCGGCAAGTTACGGTCGTATTGGGAAGACAAAGTTTACAAAATCGTGCGTCAGAAATCAAATGAGATTCCCGTGTATGAAGTCATTCCTGAGAGTGGCGGGGAGAAGACAAGAGTACTGCATAGAAACATGCTATTCCCATGTACGTATCTTCCTGTGGAGAATCCTATTGTGAAACCAGCTCAGTTAAAAAAGAAAAAGAAGAGTGAGAAGGAGAAACAGGTCACACAAGATTATCTGACAGATAGTGAAGACGAGTTCGAGATTGCTACGTTTGCACCTGAATTAACGCGGACAGACCCAGAGGATGAATTCGTGCCAGTGTCGGTTGAAAATGAAGCCCAGCAGAGTGTTGAGGAAGCTGTACAAGAAGGTGCCACACCAGAAGAACTAGCTCAAGAGAGTCAAGCGGCGACTGGTACCACGGTAGCAGCGGAGGCTGAGACACAAGTTGATTCACACCCAGTTAGTTCACAACGAATACGACGACCACCAACCAGACTGGGATATGGCAATTTGGGCCAACCAACGGAACATTGGACCAGTATTAACGCGGTCCATGCACCTGCCACAAACAACATGTATCTACACCAATACCCTGTGCTCCCGACACCTCCAATACCGTTCTTTCCCCCAATACTTCCTATGTCATTACCTGTATTTCCATTATATTGGTCAAGTTGGCAAGGACCAATTATGCCATCAAATATATGGTGTTAGACACTGATATCAAGAGTTACGAAATCGGAAAACGAAAATTGTTGAAATTGCCATCATGTTGCGAATAATGACTGTTAGAAAACAGAAACAATAAAACTTTACAAGAGTTAAATTTCCAGGAAAAGTTCCTGACCAACAAGAAGTGAAAGCGGGGCCCGAAAAGATAAAGAAACACGTAGTTTAGATTACTGTCTACGTTCAATATTTGTGAGTCTGATCAACTCACACAGTTGACCAAGAAGTAGCCAAGATGAGTACAGACTATAGCGTTAAATGTTGGGCTATATAAAAGATAATAAGGACAGCTTAAATTATAGGAGGGGTGAGTGTAGGATGCCCATTAGCAATACGTCATGTAACATTAGTTAAATAGGAACTATTGCATCATGCAGTTGTGACAGTTACCATAGTAACGAGAAAGGACAGACAAACAGATTTTCAAGATGGCGATTAGTCAACCACGTTGTTATTAATGTTCGCATTGTTTTACGAAATAAATTGTGCTTTCTACTGTTTTAATACGTGAATTATGGGATAGATCGAGAATTTAGTGAGCGGGCAACACATGCATGAAGTCTCTATTATGGTGAATAGTAAAGAAAGCACAAAAGAAGTCAATCATGTAATTGAGCAGAGACATATTCCATACATGTCATCGGACACAATGCATAGTGAGGATTTTTGGAGGAATCTAACCCCTGAGTGGATTGGTAGTTTACCATTAATCCAAACTAATGTACCCAAGCCTTCTAATCGTACGTTTATTCGGGTTCAACAACAACAACGACGACGACGACGACGACGACGACGACGACGACGACGACGACGACGACAACAACAATTAAAATTCCTGTTAAACACTTGCCGGGTTCCCAACATACGTTCGTTCCCTCCCTAATGCTATCTAATGGAAATCCCATGCAAACCCCCATTCCTCCATCAACTTTAAGTCAGGAAGTCAATCCTCTAAGAAATACAGTGACTAATCATAGAGCACTAAGAAAGGTCTCTTATCGTAAATCATACACATACCAACTGTTCTATCAGCAAATGTTAGGAGAATCGCAAAGAAAGTTGACGAGATTCAACAAGTTGCTGAACTTAATAATGTCAATGCCATATGTATAACTGAGACATGGTTGTCTCCAAATGTGCCAGATTCCTCTGTCGTTATCCCAGGATACAATCTACTTCGGAAAGATCGAGTGAATACAACAGGAGGAGGAGTGTGCATTTATCTAAATAATACAATTCCCTGTAAGAGGTTAGAGCAATGTAACGAAGATAGAGTTGAATCTATATGGATTTCAATGAGACCCTACTGTTTACCAAGGAATATAACATCCATAATACTGTCAGTAATATACCATACGACCTCTAATCGCGAATCTGAGAATATTATTCTCCGACAACATATTCAACGTAACCTTGACAACCTATTAGCTAATCAGCCAAATACGCTTGTAATACTTACTGGCGACTTTAATCCAACGTCAACCGGATTGAAATCGAAAGATTTGACTCAAACAAATCATCTCAAACAACTTGTCACTTTCAAGACAAGGGGAATATTCTGGTATCCTGGATTGATTCCTGACAATTAAATCGGACTAGGTTATTTGAATTGTCTCAGTTACCTAAAATTGCATCCTCCGATCATTTCACAATACTGGCGAAACCACTTCTAGGACCTAAGAAGAACAAAGTGACTAAAAAATTTATTTCTCGTGATATGAGGGATAGTGCCTGGCGTGAGTTTGGTCGATGGATAACCCAGAAAGATTGGAACCCAGTCCTTAAAACTTCCTCCTGTGAAGATAAGTTCTAACTATTCATCACAGAGTTAAATCAAGGTGTCGATTGCTATCTCCCACAAAGGACAGTAAAAGTTCACCAAACAGATCGCCCATGGGTGACAAATAAACTCAAGATATGGATCCGAAAACGCCAAACCGCATTCCAAAGACATGGTAAAAACTCGTCCATATATAAACACTGGAGGAATAAAATTCAAAGGGAAATTAAAGCGGCCAAGTCACATTATTATAAACATAAAGTTGCAGAACTGGGACAGACTAACACCCGGAAATGGTGGAAACAAATAAAAAGTCTTATGGGACAAGACATTCAACAGGAGTGGCATTATCAATTTCTTGGTGACAATGGGAATGTTAAGATACTCGCAGATAGAGTCAATGATTTCTTCTTGAGCATAACTGAGAACTTTTCACCGTTATGGCCTCTTTATCCAACTCAGCATGTCCCAAACGAGTTCCTTGTGTCTGAAGCAGACGTTTATCGATCATTGTCATCTCTACAAGTAGCCAAATCTGTTGGACCGGACGAACTCCCAAAAAAAGTATTAAAGGAATTTGCTACGCAGCTTTCTCCGGTCATTCAGGATATTTACAATCAGTCCATTAAGGAAGCATATATCCCAGATTTACTTAAATCCTCAATTATATCTCCCATACCGAAAGTAACCCCACCATAATCAATTGAAAGCGACTTACGTCCAATATCCCTAACATGCAATTTGGCTAAAATTATGGAGGGATTTTTCTGTAGGATAATTCTATCACAGCTGCCACGAAAAATTGACCCCCGTCAGTTTGCTCGTAAGGGTCACTCCACTACGGATGCACTACTATTTTTGCTTCAACCCATCTACGAGGCCCTCGATAGCGGAAACGCTTGTGCTCGTTTCTTTTTTGCCGACTTTAGCAAAGGGTTCGACCGTATCGACCACCATATTCTCATGAAGGAGCTGATGGAATTGGATATTCATCCTGTCTTATATAACTGGATTAACGCTTTTCTTTCTAATAGAAAACAAGCTGTCAGAATAGGGGGGACTTTGTCAGACTGGAAATCCCCAAATGGTGGTATACCTCAGGAAACTAAACTCGGTGTTATTCTTTTCTCGGTTATGACAAATAAGCTAATATCTGACTGGCATTTAAGGACAAAGTTTTCGATGACACAGCTGCGCTAGAGATCATTCCCAGGAACTCAATTAGTTATCTGAACCATACGGTAGATGAATTACATCAATTCTCTGTAAATCATAACATGAGTCTCAACCCACTTAAATGCAAGGAGATGGTAATTAATTTTATGAATAATAACAACTCCATAATGAGGCCTTTTGTAATAGGCAGCAACGTAGTAGAAAGGGTAACCAATTATAAATTACTTGGAGTTCAATTGAGTGAGGATCTCAAGTGGAATAAACATGTTGATTATATCTACAAAAAAGCTTGTAAGAAGCTATATTCCCTCCGCGTACTTCGTAGAGCTGGCGTTGAGCAAAGGAAAATACTAAAAGTGTATCTAACTACTATCAGACCCGTATTGGAATATGCTGTTCCAATATGGCAAGCGATCTCTGACTACTTAAGTGAAAGGATAGAATCAATACAGACAAGGGCACTTCGAATCATCTTCCCTTCCATAGACAATTATAATGAGGCGATGATGATGGCACAGATACCAACATTGGAGAGCAGACGCGAACTGTTATGTAAAAAATATATGACTAAAATGAAGAAGGAGGATCATCCCCTGCATTTTATGCTCCCAAAACATAAGATGAGCGAATGCAGGTATAGCCTACAAAATGGGCAAGACAATACTGTTTTATTTAAGAACACAACCAAATGCAGAACTTTAAGATCTGAACAATTTTTTACCTTTAAATATTTTTAATATTTATACATAGTTTTAACAGTTGTATGTATTCATGTAAATATAGTTTTAGTAATACCTTGGACTCGTTAATTCAGTGTAAATATACTGCAAGAGAGTTTCAATAAACATCATTTATAATTATTAATTATAACTATTGAACGAGAAACCAAAAATATCGATATTTACGCATATAATGGTCCACACATTTTGCCTGCGTTTGTGCATTGTCACGAAATCATATGAACAAAAATATCCATGCAGGTAACCTCACACCAGCAGGGACTACTATAAAGTTGATGCATTGAATTTTCAAAACGGAAGAAGCTAATTTACAAACCTGCAATTGACACACTGTAATACCCTCCATATAAAAACGTTTTGCGCAGTTCAGCTTCAGTTGTTGTCTGATAACTCATATCACAGTGTTTACACAGTATGGCATCTTGCCAGATATTCAGCAAATCAGAATACCATGTATCATTCTCAACAGGCATTACATAATGACCAGGAATATCATTATTACCAATACTGGGAAAATATGGGATGTCAGGAAATGTCAACTTCACAGCTTTTGATGAAGTATTTATATTTTCGAGCACCACTTTTCTTCGGTGTGTCTCAATTGAATGAGCGCATGAGTCACCTGGAAATATTAAATTACAAGAAGGCTTGTAGAATGCTAAAATATTCAAAATCTTATGGATGACTGGAAGGCATGGAAACAGTGGGATTTGTAAAAGAATAAAATGGCAATGCTGCTTGGCCCTGTACAGTGTGCAGTTGTTATTCTGTTAAGTAGCAAATAGCCCATTTCTAGAATCTTGACTACACAACAGTGACTCTGATCTTGCTTGAACACAAATCATACCACACTTGTAAATGAGCAAGCATGAGGTTCAGCACGTGGAAAATCAAACTTTGGTAACGCAAAAGTTTCGAACTTTTGCCTAAATGATATTTATTTCTCCTATGTTTATACTGGGAAAATTCCTTACCTGACAACATAATAAAGCCCAGATTGGGTAAGTTATTTGCTTGTTTCTTCATAGCATTCAATGCATCATGCAGTAATCTCAATGGACTGTCACAACCAATTCTTCCATATGGCGCATTATAAGTGCTAGGCTCGCTCTCATTTCTACAGACACTATCTATTCCTGCCGTGGCTTTGTAAAATTGATCGAGGTGGACATCAGAGAAAAGGAGAAAGGATATCAAGTTGTTGGATTCCGTAGATGAATTTTTTCTTCGAGTGTGCTCCCGATTGTTCCTGTCATCGTCATCACATTGTAATTTCTTGCCATAAGTTACAGCAATGAGAATTACCAGCACAATAACGATAATCAATAATAAGAACACCAATATAGTGCGACGAGAAAATCTGCCATTGCGTTTACTTGTCTTAAATGGAAGAAGTTTATGAGCATTAAACGCAGTGTTGTTTGTGGATGCAGACTGCAGAATGTGGGAGTGGCCCACCCCCATGGTCCCCAAGGTTAATATTAGTTTATTTCCGAAGCTGCTCCCCATCCCCCTCCTCCTCCTCCCGCCCCCGCCCATGTGCAAAGTACTTGTATGTTCTACATGAGGGAGCAGGCTATTTGTATGTCATTTGGTTGACATGCAACGTCGATTGGCGGTGTGTGTGCTACAATCTTGGACATAACTGCTTGAGACTATTTTTCCCCTTATAAAAAATTCTCATATTTTTGTGATAAACTCCATGTTTAATCGTGTTGCCATTCTTAAGTCTCCGCTCCCTGAACTCAATGTTAAGCTTGTGTCATAGTCCCCGAGCCGATGGCGCGAAGCGCCGTGCGAGGGTACTAATTCCCCCCGGCTATTTACACCCGGGAAAACGAAAGCATTAGCGAAGTCTAAAGTTCATCAAATATCGCGGGCGTGGCTCACCAACGATGTTTCGGTGGGTGGTTATCCTCACTGATCTCAAAAATATGGCGGACTGTCATGAATTGCGGACACTGATTGGTCCAATTTAAAGTTTGCATTATAACGACTGCATGACGACAGCGAAATAGCAAACATTTCTTGATTTGATGATTGATAAATTTCTTGCAAATATATTTCATTTTTGCTCGCATTTCTGCAAGATTTTGTAAATTTCAAAAGCTCCCTCAGAAAGAAACTGCGAAAGAATCGGCTAAAAGAAGGAAGAATCGGCTAAAAGAAGGGAGCCGTTTGTTTTAAATATAGATTTTATAATTGCTTTAAAACCCGACGCCTTTCCGTGTATGAAACACCCAAACAAGAGAGCAATGATATAATTTCAGTGTTTCTTTAATATTGATTCCCTTTTTTTAAGATATTGAGTTTTTTAAATAAAACAGAAAGCAAAGTTATTTGCAAGCGTGAATATGAAATCATTTTATTGCAAACTCAAAGTTTATCGATAAAGCCATTTTAAAAGGCAGATTAGTTTTATAAAGAACACTAGTGACTTTAAAACGTTTTGCGAAGCGTTTGTGGTTGAATTTTACCTTAAATTGAGGCTTATATTACGTATAATAACATACCTAACATATTATGTTGGGAAATTAATTTTGTAATTAAAAGTGATATTTTTAGGCGATTTTTCATTTGTAAGAATATTCTTAAAAAATTATCGTGTTACCATGACAACTACTTTAGATACTTCATGTTCGGAAAATACAATGGTCAATGGTTTTCTCAGCAAGGCGAGGGTTTCTGCATGCATGTATTTTCTAGTATATTACCAAAAGTTGTTTCGGCGTTGTTTACAACATTGATCATGAACTGGGGGGAAGAGGAGACGAAGTTTGTTTTGTCAGTTTGTTTTGTAATATTGGCTGGAATGGTCTCAAGGGTTTGTCCAAGATTGGGGACGAGGTTGAGGTAGGGGCAGTGGTGGCAGATGCCAAATCCAAACCTCGCTATTATTAAAAACAGCAAGAGATTGTAGTAGCAAGACTTCGAGCCATATTACATTTTAGGCCGATAGATTCCAATAATAATTATTGTAATTCATTCTAATATGTTTGTTTCTGTTTATAAATGTTGCCTTGTACAATGAAGTGGTGTTAATTGAAAGCTGCTAATAAAACCTATTGTTAAGGGTATGCTAATTTTGTTTTTTTGTTACGCGCCAAAGGGACGTTTAGGGGTCCAAAGCCCCCAGGCCCCATGGTGCCTCCCGCCGCGCGCAAACATCCCACCCCCTCCAGACAAAGTCCCTTTTCTCTAAAATATAAGCAAAATGTTGGAAGAAAAATGAATTTGAAGGTACCGGTAGGTTTGATATTCTAGTAACTGAAATTTGTGAATCTTACGTCCTGTCTTTTATCTTCAAATGATTCAATGTCTTTTCAAAAATGCTAAACATTGTGTTGTAAATACCTTGGAGAAATTGTTGTAAAAATTCCCATGTGGATAGCATATCAAAGACCCTATAGATTTGAGTTGTTGGAAGGCTAGGCTAAACAAGTTAAATAGTGACTGAGTTGATTTGCTTAACTTACACGTACTTAACTGAAGATTCAGTCTATCTACAGTATAAATTAAACGCTGTATATCCAAACATCTGTTTCACAAAACGCCGAAATGCAGTTCTAGAGGTGGAAAATACAAAAATGTTCTGAGAAAGATTCCCCCAAACCCCCCTGCTATTAAATACGACACCACACCAAACGTTTTATAAACAAGAATCAATATCTGTCATATCTCCACACTCAGTATAGTGCGGTACATTTTGTAGATGCCATCCCCCACGGACGATCGAATTCTTAATTTAAAAAGGACCTGTTACACGAGGTTAGACTAGCCGAGTTTATTGTAGGTCTAACGGGAATGTAAGGGCGAACTTCTGTTTATAAAACTTTACGTATTGTTGGGCGAGTCCAACCCATAACCTATACATGGCAGTACCCTAGTATACATACATGAACTTGTGGTTACAGCTCGACAACTGACCTCTGTGGCTCTGTTGGTTAGAGCTAGCGCTGCATCGGAATCGCAGGGCCGCAGGTTCGACTTCCTGCCAGAGACCTAATGTTGCATTTTTCGCTTCTGTTCCTGGTTAGGTCAAATAAATGTATTTCAATTTCCACTCGACGATTTCCATCTACAAAACCCATCAAATTTTAGACAACGTTTTCAGTTTGGATACATGATAATTCATTTCAAGATGTCAGAGCCAGGCCATTAGTAGAGAAAGAACAATCCAGAGCAACTCGGGAAAAACGCGGGAAATTGTAACTTTATGTGACGGCGAATTTGAGGAAAGAATTAAACAGCGAATTTATTCCGCATAATACGAGATCAGAGGAGGAGTGAGGACTATACCGATGTGCAACGCGGTCAGGCGCGGTTTTTTTACATATTATCGATTTCTCGCTCTGCGCCGTCATTGTTCGGTCGGCTTTCGCTGTGTTTACTGTTTACACCTCGAGGTTTCAAGAGATTCAGAAAAGATTTATCGAAAAAAAGTTGTAAAATGGTGGATTTTTGCACTATGCATGGAAAGAAAGCTTCGTTTTTGGGTGGGCACGAGCTTCTGTGTGTTCACTGTGTGTCAAAACAGCCTTTAATCTTGATTCCAGAAGAATTACCGTGTGATGAACTTGAATGTCGTGAGGTTCATGTTTATAGTTTTAGGATAGTTTGAAGAATAGTCCTTTGTCCAGCTGTGGTTAAAAACGGGATAAAAATTGATGAAATTGTTCGCTGATTGCGGTAGTCCTGCACTGGTACAAATTCACTCTAGTTGTGTTTTTAAGGTGAGATGATTTTTATACAAAAATTAAAATAGAAATATAAAAATGCTCCAATGTTGTGTAAATACAGCAGTATTAAACGTATTTTTATTTCATATCATGTAGTTCTTCGACCCTAATGATCTACGGGAAGGAGGTATAAACAAAGAATATAACAATGTTATGTTGTTGGGAGTTTGACATTTCAACATCACCAACATCCCAAGCAATCCCACCATGTGACCCAGATAGTCAAGATGATGAGCTGGATAGTGTACTTCCACCAACAGAATTACATCAGCCAACTGATTGTATAACTGTTTTAATTTACCAATAAACCCTGTTTGCCCTGACAGACATTCATACACACCGAATGATGGAAGAACCGCCCAGTGGTAGCATTGTTGTAAAGAATTCGAATGAAATGGAGGAAATTCAACACTATCGCAACACTATATATAAAATGTATTGACTACTGTGTGATGCATTGCAAGGATTTATACTGATCAACCAGTTATCTATGCTCAAATGATCAACCAGTTGTCTATTATTTTACTCTGCCTAACACCAGATTATTTTACTGTCTAACACTAGACTAGACTATTTACTCATCAGGGGGAGAGTGCTGACACTCAACTACTCAATGGGCAGTGACGTAGCTAGCATGTATAGTTGGGGGGGTGTAGGCCAAAAATTTCCGAATGACGAAGAAAATTTCCGAATATTTCATGGCATACGAAGCTGGCATATGAAGATGCAATTCAGGGAAATTTTTTTTTTTTGGAGCTCCCCCTCCCCCGTCGCCAAAAAAATTTCGGTCAGTGTACCATTTTAAGGGTCAAAAATTTTTTCCGGACATACCAAAAGTCAAATATTAGCTAAAAATTGCCTGAATCTCATGATTTTCGTAGAAAAACCATATACTATTATTGCCGTAATTTTCCGAATGGTCAACCCGATTTTCCGAATATGTTAATTCTACAAAATTTGGGGGGTTAGCCACCCCCCAATACCCCCCTCGCTACGGCCCTGTCAATGGGTTAAAAAACATTGAAAGAAAATGTTTAGCAAAAGCTGCAAAATTGTTTATAGGTGTCTGGTGTAATACTGACATTTCTTTTATTTGTAAGGATAGAACTGGGGAACCTGTAGTGGTACAGTCTTGGCCCTACCCCGGTTTTCCTGTACTGCATGTGTTTTCGTCACTTCCCTGATTATACCATAAGTATTGTATCCCATGCATGGACACCATCTTATCAATTCTGCAGTTTTTTGACAATCTACCGTAAACTTCCACCTAAAAGCACTGGGCTTATATTCTTTTGTAAGCGATTTTTGATGGGCTTACACAAGGGGGGCTTATACATGGGGGGGGGGGGGCTTATATTCGGGGGTTTATGGTATGTATGGTTTTCATGATTTTCAGTGTATAGTCTTCCCTTGCTCATCACAAATTAATAAAAAGATCACACACTACATATTAATTGATGTTGATGAAATTTATTTATTTTAAAATTGAAAAAATACTAACATAATATTACTGTACTTAAAGATAATTAAAATGTTTTTAAAAATAAAATCTTATGTGCACAATTTTAAAATGTTGCACACATTCATTTCACTAGAAACACGGATGCTATATGATAAAGTATATGAAAGGTGATGCTTTTGCTCTAGCTTAATGATGTATTAAAACAACTAGAGGTATTACATAATTGGTAAACCTCTTCAATCGTAATCATTTGCATGATTTCAATGAATGCTTTATCTTCCTCAAATGTCCATTTATGAAGTTTTACTGGGGATTTCTTTGGAGGAGTCGGTTTAATCTTTCTGATAGGAAACTACAAAACAAACAGCAAAAGTGAGAGGGGCAATCTCAGTGCCAGCACAATTAGACGGCAACAAAGAAACTCATGGATTTTTACCAGGATTGTGGGCATGCTTCTCCAGGAAATTTGTGTACTATAGGTTTTCTGGAATGCCACTCCCAGTATTGAAAATTAATATTGGCGTACAGGTGGATAGAAATTGCCCAACATTGTCATGACTTTATTTAAAGTTGAACAAGAGGTATAAAATAGAAGGAATACATCTCCTGTCTATATACTGTTTAAAGTCAATCTTAAAACAATTGCCCAATAATTTTTTAAAGCAGAATTCTGCCCAACTAAACACTGACTGGAGGAGTTGCAACCCCCAGCCTTGTATGCCTATGGACAGAAATTCTCCCAGGCAAAAAAGCATTAAAATACAATGTTACTGTTTAAGGTGGCTCGATATAGTTATCACAAAAACTCTGCTCAAGAATCGCGAACTCAAAACCGGGTGACCATTTTTACGCGCACAAGTCGCGCAGGTCGCGGAAACTGATTAACAAAATGAAAGAACTTCCAAAATGACCTGACGTGAGCAGTTGCTCGCGCCATATCACGCCATTGCGCGTGTTCTATAGCGTTTTATGTCAATTGCTGACGTCATTAGAATTTTCCATTTGAGAAAAACAATGCGCTATATCTCTTTATTTTGTCTGGTGACCTATGTTGAAATTTTGCATGCTGTATTGCACTGCTAAAAACTTTCATTATACAAAAAATAAAAAAATTCTGTAATGCCAAAAAAAAATTACCGAAGAATATGACATTTTCGCATTTTCCAAAAAAATGGCATTACAGAATTTTTTTATATTTTGCTAATTGTTAGCTTTTCGTCCAAGTAAAATAATGCACGAAAAAAAATTGGGGGTCACCATGCTTTTTTTCCAACTATACGAGACGATAGGTCATTTTGGAGTGAATTTCGTACACGTATGTCGTCATAGCAACGAACTATCTGTTACTAAAACTAATATCGTTTGAAAGTAGAGTTATCAAAATATATAAAAAACCCAATATCTGCTGAATAAATCCTAAAAATGCGTAGTTTGAACATGTCAAAGTGTTAAACACCTGAATTTTTGAAAACTGTATCGAGCCACCTTAACTGTTAATATGATAATAACTTTTAGTCCCCATTATTAACATATTGTCCCATTAAAAATATACAATGTTTTAGTGTGGTCAAACTGGTCATACTGTATTTTATGTTTGTAAAAACCTTGATGTTGAATTTTTCAAACGAGAAATTCTGCGTCTTTTATTATCTAATAGGTTTCCCTGGGGTATCACCTTCAGAAGTATATACCCGTTTAAAATATATAGCAGTATCATTTCCAGTTTTACTCCAAAATAGCCGAATTATATAATAAAATGAAAAAATACAGTCAGGGCAGGTAAACATAAGCATATCAAACCTTACAAATTGCACTAAACTTAAAATATGTACGAACAAAAATGCGTATGTTTCAAAATTATCATGAAAAATAGTGATTAGTACAATAATTTCCTTCGCGCCATGATGATTATCAGGCGGTCTATTCCCGCCATCGGCGATAGAATATAGCGAAAGTACCCCATTTTCAAACCGCGATTACTTATCGGTTTAGTGGAGCAAACTCATGTTTTAAAGTAACAGTAGAAAGAAAAAATCTTCCCGAATTCGATGACGTGTTTTGTTTTTGTTTTCCTCAAAACAAAGTGAGTTTGCTTCTGCATTATATCAAGGTCATTTTATTGGCTTGTCCACTGACCCGAATCAAGCATAATTACAATACGTAATTAATAGTTTAATTAGGGTCTTAAATAATACAAATATAAAAACATACCTTCGTAAAAACGAGTGATAAACGGAGCCAAAATCGCAATGTATTTCAACAACTTTTCGCCAAACGTTCGTTGAAAATCGTAATTGTGAATAATAATTAGACGCAATGCATTGTGGGAAGACCCTCATTCCTCCTCTGATACGAGATATGCAACTGAGTGGAGCATGTGTATTTGACAAGAGTGGGCTGCAGCAAGAAATTGTCTTCCAGAAACAGAGGGTTAAAATTACGACGGCTAAAGTCGATAAAGTACCAACTGCGGGCTGAAATTCGTACAGACTTTAATATGCATCAACTTACTTATATACGAATTTAAAATTCATCCCCGCAGTCCCATGCTAGTATTATTAAAACGTCCCCGCAGCTTTTGAAGTGGTCACCGCTGGATAATAACCGCGGTAGATCAAACATACATAATGTATACTAAACTGTTCCCATGTGGTCCTCACTTCACTGTTACTACGGAAGGAATCTGAGTACCCTGACAGGGAACCTGCTGTGTTTGATTCATTATGGCAGAATCAGCCGACAGCTGCTAAATTCCTACAAGAACTGTTTATTCAATCGGTATGTTAATATATATATATATATATAAATTCTGTGTCAATTTACAGTATATATTTAGTTCTTTCTAGACCTATGTTGTTCCACAAAAAAATGGCATGTGAAAGACTTGGCCTGTAACTTACTTAATTTTTATTTTAATAAAATATCGCAATATTTTGTGACATTTTGGAAGAAATGGGGTTATTTAAAGATGATGTCCACTCCTGTGCATATGCGCGAACTTTGTTTACGTTTTGAATTGCTATATATGTAAAATATGATATACTATAACTGAATATCTAACACTTTTCTTGTTCGCTATGCTTGTAAATGAATATAAACTGTACATTTCAATTCAAAAAAGTTCGAAAGGTGCAAAATTTGAGCAATGTTTGTATCTGGGAGTCCCCCTTTGTTATGAGCAGAACTGATGCGCAGAACGCAGTGGAAATCATCTTTAAAATGCTGTTCTTAAACCCTCTGAATGAGTGCATATATCGAAAAATTTATTCGGCTGAAAACATGCTGTAAACAAACACCGAACACTATTGTCTCCGCCTATTGCAATTGCAAAGGGATTAGGATAAAACGTATGCAGATACGGACCGACGGATGGCGACGGATGGACAAACGGAGTAAATATTTTCTAAAATATGAAAAAAAAATTTTAAATCGATTGTTTGGACAATCTAGGGTGTTCTGTAACCTTAAAGGAAAGTTGTTTTTTAAACTTAGAATGTTGGAATGCTTGCAATTAATTAAAACCAATTCTGTTTACAACAGCGGCATTTTAATTAATTTAATCTCCTTTTTATTATTGTATTAATCCTGCTGTTATCAAAAACAAAGTCAAAGGAAGTTTAATTAAATTGAAGATAAATCTGCAACATATATATTATTATAGGGCCTGTTAACAAATACACCGTAAACGTCCGAATATTAACGCCTTGGCTTATATTCGTTCGTAAGCATTTTTAATGGCTTATACATAGGGGATGGGGGGGGGCGGGTTACATACGGGGGGGCTTATATACGAACGACATATTTGATGTTATAGTGTGAACGAAAAGAAACATACAGTATATAATCTATACATAGAACAAGTTGGTTAACATATAATACTTTTATGTAATTATTGTCGCGTTAACAAATACCTGTGTAAAGCCCATGGGCTTAAATTGGAAGGGGGGGGGGGCTTATATTCTGAATGGGCTAAGCGTTACCTAATATATGGTGGGTTTATACAGGGAGGGCTTATATTTGGGTGGGTTTGGTATTGTCCCAGAGCAATCGGTATAGCACATAACTGATATAAGCACCAATCCTCAGGATTATTATAACTATAGAAATCACAGAACGTCGAGTTTTACAGAGGACCAACTGGACGCATTAGCTTCTCGCAACACAGTCAGTGCTGTTGAATATCTTGCGATTTAGGCGTTTTGGTCGATGCAGTGAAGTTAACAGCTGGCGCGTACTGCTAAACCAAGCATTCAATGTCCTAAAATATTAACTTAATATCCCATATTTTGGTTTCAAAACATCTTTATTTTTGTGCAAAAAGTAATTCTGTACTTAGACTTCTTTCGTGAAGCTAGCTTTCAGTTCAAAGTTTTCAGCTAACAAGTGAAATTAATCGTTTTTCTTCGAATATTCTAAAAATATTCAGTCCGGATCCGGGGCAATGTGTAACCAAAACGTATCTTTGTTTAGTTTTTACTACCATATACTGGTAGTATAGAAAGTGCTTGTATAAATCCCTGAACTACCAATAATTGTTTCTTGGATAATAACAGTACCTTCTCATGAAGATTATAATCCAATATCTCAGCCTCAGCCATTTATAGATTATTCCAGACGAAGTTCCGATAGTATGTTGCAGTTCGTGGCAAATTCGTAACGTAATCTTAGCTCTGCGTGCAATGATCTAATGAAAATTGCAGTTGAAGCTGGCAAAACAGCTGGAAAACTTCCTTCCTTTTCACAGCAACTATTGGCCTGCCGTGGCTGAAGCCAATACAATTTGAATTTATAATTATGCGTATACGGAGCTGCGCATGCAAAATTCCCATTGGTCAGAAATATAGAATAGCCTTGCCTTATATAGTCAAACCAGATGTTCTTTTGCGAGGAATTTGTCAAAGACGGCAACTTGTCAAAAGCCGGTTGCAAACTTGAAATTTGCTAAATCAACACTGTACATGCAATGTCGTTTGACTAATGTGATATCAATTTACTGTTTCCACGATGTCATGAAAAAAACCCTTTCCAAAATCGTTACTCTGATTGCAGGTCCATGAATTAAAAGAAGCCAATCCCAGTAGGCATAGGAATATTAATGTAGTTGCATTCCTGAATGTTTTGAGAAGAAAATATGATCGACATGTATTTTTCGAGCGAGAAGAAGGATCTGCGGTTTCGGTAATAACATCGCTGGCAATGCAATGCTGAAATTGTTTTTTATGGAAAGCCATAAATATGGCTGTTTGCCAGGAGTGGGATAAGCAAGATTTCACTGATTTTCAAAAGGATATATATTCGGAAAATCACGTTTCACACAATGAGCTTTGAAGCAATTTTTGTTTGAAGAAATGAGAAGAATTGATTTACTGTGGGAAATCGTGAAATATAGGGCAAGCTTGCTTTGAATGTTTAGTCATAGGTCTCCCAAAAAGGTCTTTTATTTTTTAAAAAAATCCATACAATTTGCTTTAAAATACAATGCTTTGACATGCAATGCTTCAATCTACAGTTAAACCTCTATAATTCATATTACATGAAGTACGTATAACACATTTATAGCGTTGCCTGTGGCGTTGCATCATTATGTGATATATATATCCACAGGGGGTCCAACTAAGAGCTGTGTTATGAATATGAATAAAACATCATATTAATTAAACGCAATATGAATAAAACATCATAACGTAATATATTTAAATTATTGCACTTACAGGTACTTGTATAAATCATAAGAGCTTGCATTTACAGTGAATAACTTCAAACATTCACAACATATAAAACAAGTAGTTTGCTATTGTTCAAATATGGCAAAATAAATTGACAAAACGAAAATATTACATGGCGTTCCAACGAAAGTAATAGCAATGATTGCGGGCGCGCGAGCGAAAAGGCGGGGGAGAAATTAAATATAATATAAATAGAAGGGATGAAACAAATATCACGTGACTTTAAAATGCTTCTAGACTATCCGTTTAAGCTTTTTGTGGGTTTTTTAAGGCTCAGTCGATGTTCTCTTACATGAACAAGCCTAGTCATTACCAAAAAAGCACTGATCAATCTAATTTATGTGATTTATAACAGCGAACATTCTTGGCCGTTTTCGCGAGATGTGTTCCATAAGTAGCCTGGTCTCGTGACGTAATGATTAAATAATAATAAAACTAAATAATGTAAGAAAAACTGTTGGTCGCTATATTTAAATATTTCATATTAGCCGGTATAGCTAAACATTGTTTATTTTCATTAATTAAGCGGGTAGGTTTTGTTGGAGTTGGCAGGAGGCATTTTGGAATTTTCCGAGAGACCACGCTACTTATGGAACACATCACACGATCGCATTACTGGTGTTTCATCCCTTCTATTAATATTTATTAACCTCGCCTTTCCGCTCGCGCGCCCGCAATCCTTGCTGTTATTTTCGTTGGAACGCCATGTAAAATTTTCGTTTTGTCAATTTATTCGCCATATTTGAACAATAGCAAACTACTTGTTTATGTTGTGAATGTTTGAAGCTATTCACTGTAAATGCAAGCTCTTATGATTTATACAAGTAAGTGCAATAATTTAAATATATTACGTTATGATGTTTTATTCATATTGCGTTTAATTAATATGTTCTATTCATATTCATATTCATAACACGGCTCTTAGTTGGACCACCTGTGATATATCCCCAAGGTTGGCAAGAAAATACAAATTTAAAATTTAAATATAAAAACTAAATGACGAAAAACTCGTACATAAACATCGAAATTCATTAAAAAAACTAACTCACTATGGTAAGACCTAACTTTAATACTTCTACATAAACTACATTGTGTTTTTTTTTGTTCTCTCGTCACTTTAAAACGAGTTAATTTTGCGAAAATTCATCAAATTCGCGACTCAATTTGGTCAAAACTATGCGGGATGATGGCTCCTGGCGTTACGTCACAGAATAAAGCTCTCTGATTCGCTGAAAATTTGTCGTAACGCTGGGAGCCATCATCCCGCATAGTTTTGACCAAAGTCAGTCACGAATTTGAGAATATTTCCTCGGAATTTTCGCAAAATCAACTCGTTTTAAAGTGATGAGAGAACAAAAAATAGGTACGCAGTGCGTACATGTTGCATGCCTCAAAAACCTTATAGGCTGTGGGCTATTGTGCGAAAAAGTGCTTAGAAAAGCAATTTTGTGGCAACCCCCTGGTGATGTATATGTATATATTGTGTTAATGTTGGACAAAGCGAAACATCAGGAGCGATGGGGGATAGTTAAAAAGAGCGGGAAAGGACGGGAAACATTACATTGTATACCATGGGTTGATATTATTAAAAGAAACGAACAAACCAGTTTATATTTGGCGACGAAGATTAAAAAAATCACTTATCCTGACACTGACTACGTCACAATCAGATATATACAACTACAAAGCACCAAAAGCTGAAATACCGACCACTATGGCGGCCATGACGAGCACATCAACACTATATTTTGACCCTGATCTTCATCCAGACGACACTTTACGTGCTTTTGACGAATTTATCCAGAGCTTCGAGCTCCGATATGATGCACAATATCCTGATCTCCTAAAACATCTCTAGATGCGGCTGTTGAACGATGGAAACTCGCAAACGACGATAAAAAGCCAACGCTTGATGACTATGACAACATTCGCGACGAATGGCGATCAAAAGATCGCGTGACAAAACTCCTCGGTATATTCTCATCGAAACGATTGTTTGCTGACTGGAAAGTCGCAGAACCGGATGATTCCAAAAGAGCTAAGGTGACGTGGAAATATTTCTTGACAACAATGCAACAGCACTACAAACCAACAGAAAATCTTACACTTAAAAACCACCAGTTCCGGTCTTTGGCACAGGCGCCCATGAGTCATTTCCGACATTTTGCAATCGCGTATATAAAGCAGCTCAACACTGCAATTTCAAATGCCACAATGACGATTGCACTGCCGAAGATACAGCCATACATGACCAGATTATTATTGGCACTGCACATGACAAGATCAGAGAGGAAGCCCTCAAAAATTCATGGGACCTCCAACAATTACGCAAGGAAGGAATGCGAATTGAAAGTGCCACCAAAGGACTGGAAGAGCTCAACAATGAAAATCCAGTCAACAAAAAGGGTAAATACTCCTTTAAAAACATGAAGAAAAAACCTGAGGCTGGAAAGCCCCGGTCATGTTACTACTGCGGACAAGACATCAAGACATCCGTTATTGCTCACCTCAAATCCTGCAGAGCACGAACCAGTAAAGGTAACTTCTGTGATGCAATTGGCCACTATGAAACTGTATGTAGGAAGAAGAAAGCAATCAATGAACTGAAAAACGACAGCGAACAAAAAGAACATCAAATCGAAGATCATGACCACAGCGGCGTCTACAGCATCAACATCTTCAGAATAACCGAAACACCTCAGCAACAACCTCCTCATAAGAGACGCATGAAAACCAGAGATTTCAACGCACAAGTCATCATCAACAATAGCCTTGCAAAAGAGTTGGCTGACACAGGTGCAACTATCAGCGTCTGTGGAAGAGAGCAAGCGCAAAAATAGAACCTCCTGTCCAGAATGGTCCCAACCACGACCAAGATCAAGCCATATAACAGCCCGACAATACCAGTTATTGGAATTGCCAAATGCGCTGTCACATTTGGCTCCACATCCATTCCAGTTGATTGGCACATAATTGATACACCATGTGAACCTGTACTTGCAGGACAAAGTGCAGTACAACTGTGGATAATCCAGTTTGACCCTCAGCCCGAAGTTTACTAACCAGTACAGATGATCCAGTGTAGCAAAAAGGAAGCGCTTCAAGACATCTTAAAGAAATATCCGCAGAATTTTGAAGGGCTTGGAAAGTTGAAAAACCACCAAGTTAAACTGCATATCGACATCAGTGTTAAACCCGTTGCCTCCCCAGCTCGACCAGTGCCATATCACTTGAAGGAACGTATCAGAACAGAGATTGACAAAATGGTAGCCCAAGATGTCATTGAAGAACATCCACCAACAGAACCAGCACCTTGGGTGTCAAACGCAGTTATTGCACCCAAATCGGGCGGCGCCATTCGTATGACCCTTGACGCTCGCAATGTGAATAAAGCGATCCAAGCTTCCAACCTGCCCTTCCCAAGGCAAGAAGACATTAAAGCTAAACTTAGCGGAGCGAAAGTGTTCTCGAAGATGGACTTTAAATCGGCATTTTGGCAACTTGAACTCCACCCAGATTCCCGGTACCTTACGGTGTTCCACGCAAACGATAAACTATACCGATATAAGCGACTCACCATGGGCGTAGAGCCAGCACAAGGAGAACTTAACATGGCTCTTCAACCACTTTTCGCACATATTCCACAAGCACACCTCATCCATGATGACCTTATTGTTGCAACAGAAACCGATGCAGAACACCATTCCACGATTACTGCCGTCATGCAAGCCATCACTAACGCTGGTATAACCCTTAATCCAAGCAAGTGCACTTTCGGAGCCACTGAGATCGAATTCTGGGGTTTGCGTATTGGTTCTGCAGGAGTACGACCAGATCCCGCCAAAGTGGAAGCACTAAAGCACATCACACCGCCTCGATCAAAGGAAGAATTGAGTTTTCAGAACAGTTTTCTCTGTATGATGCAGTCCAATGCCGATTTCATTCCAAACTTCGCACAACACGCGGCCAAACTGAGAGAACTGACCAAGAAAAATAGTCTATTCACATGGACGAAAGAACACCATGCCGCTTACGAAGCATTAATCGAACGATTCACAGTAAATACCCTACTCGAGTATTTCGACATGAGCAAGCCAACTTTCATTTTCACCGATGCACACACTACTGGACTTGGGGCCATGCTGGCACAAGGAGATACACCAGAGAGCGCAAGACCAATTGCTATAGCTTCTAGAACAACAAACAAGGCCGAGCAGAGGTATCCACAAATCGACCTTGAGGCCGTTGGTATTGATTTTGCTCTACGACGATTTCGCAACTATACCCTTGGTTCCCCAACCGATATCCAGGGTATAACTGATCATAAACCATTATGCTCTATCTTCAACGGCAACCGTAAAGGCTCGATTCGTACAGAAAGAATAAAGCTCCGCCATCAAGACATCAGATTTACGGTAATCTACGAAGGTGGAAGAGTTTGTAAAGTCATGCAGTGACTGCAATGTATTTGTGGATAAGAAGACGAAGGAGCCGATCAAACCACACCGAGTACCAGAGAAGTGTTGGGAAACAGTTGCAGTGGATTTATTCGGACCAATGCCATCATCTAAACATGTGGTGGTAGTACAAGACCTAGCGTCAAGATACCCTGCAGCAAAGTTAGTCACATCAACAAAGGCAGACAAAGTCATACCAGCCTTGACAGAAATTTACGAAACATACGGCAACCCAGATGTACAGATCTCAGACAATGGTCCACCATTCAACAGCATTCAGATGCAAAACTTCGCCAAGACTAAAGACACCAAGTTACAGAAATCACCACCACTACACCCCTCCTCGAACCCAGTCGAAACCTTTATGCGGCCCTTGGGCAAGGCTATGAAAACTGGGCGTCACAGCGGTATTCCCGAAAAAGAAAGCCTAAAAAATGTCTTGAAATACTACAGACAGACACCCCACCCGGCAACCAATCTTCCACCGGCAGCTATGATTTTCCGCTATGGACAACGCCTGGACTTTCCTAGAAGACACGCAACAGACGAAGAGATGAGCAGGGCACGAGAAGCAGACCAGAAGAAGAAAATGGAAAAGAATGTAAAGTAAATGGCTCCAAGTACCGGAAGAAATCTCATTTCATAATCGGCGACAATGTCCTGATCAGAAACTACAATAAATCAAGGAAGTTTGACACTCTTCCTCCTCCAGGAAGCGTTCAAGATCATTGATATGAACAGGGAGGGGAACATAGTCAAGGTACAACAAGAAGGAAGCGGTCTCACCCTGTGTCGCCACCCGGATGATCTCAAACCTTCGAAAAGTCGACCGGACAACCGCGAAGAGAAACAGGAGTGCATGCAGAACGCCGACATCCAATGGCCAGAAGTAATTGAGCACGATGACGACGACGAGAGCTACTGCCTGGAAAAGAGAGATACAGCACCACCGCCTAGACGAAGTCAACGGAAACGGACGACCATTCCAGTTTACAAGTAAACACGAATGTTTACGAACAGTATTCATTTTATCTATTTGTGATAGGGGATGATGTATATGTATATATTGTGTTAATGTTGGACAAAGCGGGACATCAGGAGCGATAGGGGATAGTTAAAAAGAGCGGGAAAGGACGGAGAAAAAAGGAAACATTACATTGTATACTAGGGGTTTGTGATTGTCAGCCATCTTGAATGAATGTCTTTATAATATATGGTGTCAGGATCCTTATGAATCCGTGCCGAATTCAAGCCATCAGGCTCGAATCTAAATGAAAACTGAAAGAAGAGTTCTTTCTAAATATAACAGTGTAGTAAACGGAAAAAATATATATATATAATGGCGAAATTTAAGACCCCAGAAATGTCTTGGATTGTACAAGATTTAAATCAAGAATGGCGTCGATTCTATAGACAAGCAATGTGTATTTTCGAAGGTCCTTTACACGATAAAGAGGACGGCGTTAAAGTCAGCTATGTAAAGTTGTGGGTAGGCGATAAAGGACTTGATGTATTTGAAGGATTTACATTTGCCCAACCCGCCGATGCAAAGAAATTAGACATTGTACTAAAGAAATTCGAGGACTATTGTACTCCACATAAGCCGTTGGCCGATACTTTGACATTAGAAAAGGCTATTGAAATCGGACGAAGCCATGAAACCAATTTAGCTAGCTTAAAGAAGCTCACGAAAGACGAAGACCTTATTTGTATATGCAATTGAGTCAACCATTCCATCTGAGGATGAACAATTTTACGAAACTGTTGATGTAGAAAATATCAAAGTTAAATTTCAGTTGGAGAGTGGGGCAAAAGCAAATGTTATGTCTTTTAAGACCTATAACAACCTCAAGTGTACATCTCTCCGCCCACTGAAGAAAACAAATACTGTCTTGGTTTCTTTTTCCAAGCACAAATTAAAACCATTCGGAGAAGTTGTGTTAAAAGTAATGTATAAAGACCACACAGAAGATATAAAATTTTTTGTTGTGGAATCTGAAGTTGAATCTGTTCTTAGTGGAAACACTTGTGTCAAACTTGGTTTGCTGAAGAGAGTTTACCAAGTTGTAAGTCAAGAAGCATCATTAAAGAAAGTTAAATTGGATGACTACCCTGAGCTGTTCAAAGGATTAGGATGCTTACCTGGTGATTATCATATCGAACTAAACGAAGGTGCTACCCCTGTTGTCCATGCTCCAAGAAAAGTACCAATTCCACAGAGAGAAAAAGTTATCGAAGAGCTGAAAAGAATGGAAAGACTTGGTGTGATCGTGCGACAGGAAGAAGCGACAGATTGGGTCAACTCGATGGTCGTGGTTCAAAAGCCTAATGGTGCAGTGAGACTGTGTATTGATCCGAGGGATTTGAATGCCGCCATGAAAAGATCCCACCATCCGATGAAGACTGTGGATGAAGTCGCCAGTCGTCTCGAAGGTGCTGATACCTTTAGCATATTGGATGCAAAGAATGGTTTCTGGCAACTGAAACTGAAACTGTCCTCTGCACCTTCAACACACCGATAGGACGGTATAGATTTACAAGGCTACCTTTTGGAGTAAAATGTGCCCAAGAGATTTTCCAAAGAACCATGGATAGAATGGTTGAAGATTTAGACGGTGTGGAGGTTATTATGGATGATGTAATTGTCGCCGGGGATGAAACAACGCATGATAAACGATTGACCAAATTCTTGGAGCGAGCATCGACACAAGGATTAAAGCTCAATCGAGAAAAATGTAAGATTCGCCAGAGAGAAGTGCCTTATGTAGGGCATCTCCTCACAGCGGAAGGTTTGAAGATGGACCCTCGGAAAGTTGAAGCTATTCGAGAAATGCCAACGCCAAATAGCAAAGAAGACGTCAAACGATTTCTTGGATTTGTGCAATTCCTAAGTCGGTATATTCCTGGATTATCTAAGGTAGATGCACCGTTGAGAGGGCTTGAGAAAGCCGATGTACTGTTTCACTGGGATCAACCACAGCAAACAAGCTTCGAGAAGATCAAGGAACTTGTCTCACAATCACCAGTCCTACAGTATTATGATGTAACCAAACCGGTAACAATCCAGTGTGATGCAAGTGGCAAAGGATTAGGTGCAGTGTTACTACAAGAGGGAAAGCCTGTATGTTATGCTTCTCGAGCTCTTACGGACACTGAAAGCAGATATGCCGCCATCGAAGCCGAAATGCTTGCAGTGGTCTTCGCCTGTCGTAAGTTCCATCAGTACATATATGGCAGAAGTGTGGTTGTCGAGACAGACCATAAGCCACTACAAGCAATCAGCAGCAAACCGTTGTCGCAGGTTCCGTTGCGACTTCAGAAGATGATTCTTAACGTGCGTGGATACGACGTGAAGATACGTTATGTTCCTGGCTGTAAACAAGTATTAGCTGACACTCT